AGCGGAGAAAGAAGATCCTAGTCTACATAGTCTACAGTCACCCCTCATTCCCATCACAAGAGGAAGATGCTGAAGACCAGCTGAGGAGACGGAAAGAGAGGAACGAGGCTGTGTCATGAAGGACTGAGGAGTCAACTCAGTAGACTTCTCTAGCAGGTTAACACGGGTGTGGGTAAAGGGACCTAGAGCTTTATGTGGCAGAAAGTTGCTTTTACTCTAGAAATGGGAAATGAGGAAAGAAGAATCTCTTTCTCCAAGTTCAGAAATGACCCTTCCTCTCTATGTACAATCTTCCCTGATGACAGACAGCAGAAAGTATAGTCGAAAGTTGCCCAGGTTTGGAAGTTCAAATCCCAGTTTTGCCGCTTCTTTCCTGTGTAACCTTGGGCAAGTTACTTAACCTCTCTGTGCCTTTCATCTCTACTTTCATCTGTAAAATGGAGAAAATAACAGTACTTTCCTCACAGGATCGTTGAAGGATTAAATAACACATCTAAAGCCTAAAGAATAGTTCCTGGCACATAATAAGCCCTCAATAAATTTGGCTATAATTATTTTTATGATGAGGGTAAGAGTAGTATGATTTTGAAGGTCCTTCTAGTTTAAGGTACCCCTAAATTGATTGACAAGTGATTAAGGGTAAACTCTATTTGGATTTTTCAACAAACAGTGGTAGAGAACCTCCCTCCAGAGGCGAATTGCCTTTCGCAAAGACCTGCACCCCACACACCCTGGAAAGAACGGTGTTCACTCGATGAATCAGATCCTTCAGCCAAACGGGGTTTTGAAAGAAGTTGGACATCCTGACCCTTCCTGTCATTAAGGACGTTCTGATAACTATGTTGTATAAGACAACAGTAGCCAACTGCTGTCTTCCTCCTGTAGCCTGAGAGCAGGATCAAGTCAGTCTTCCTTCAAAATGGGCAGTGGAGCATGATAACGATGTTCATGGCAAGATCGTGGAGTCAGGAAGCCCCGGGTTTTAAATTTTGGCCTCATGGCTTCCTAAGTACAAGAGCCTAAGAAAGAAGTCTTTAAAAATGGGGATAATAATACCTATGTAGTAGGGTCTTGTGAGGGAGGATTAAATTAAATTATTTATAGAAAGTACCCAGCATAGAGTTGGTACTCAGTAAATGTCAGTTCCCGCTCCCTCTTTCCCCTTTTCCTGCTGAGAAACAGAGTTGGACTACTCTGTGGGGAGGGGATATTCATCGAATGAATGACTTTTATTTTTCAGTTTATTTTTCTCCCACTTTTCTGAGGCAAGAGATCATGAGGACGGGAGGAAACAAGCACCCATTGGTCTAATCTTTTCTATCTAGTGGAAATGGTCCATCTTCCTCTTGTGGCACTTTAAAAAAGATGATCAAAGTGCAGCTGATACTGAATTATCTAGCTACTCTAGGACCACCTTGATCAATCTAGGAATAAGGGTCCCGTTCATCTCTATTGAAGGTGGGAACAAATAAGGCCTCAAGAAAACCTACCCAGGGTGGCCTCATTCCAAAGTTTACGGGATGTGTGCAACACCCAAGGGGGCAGGACCAGTGGGGCCAGGGGTCAGGCTTGGCCATGGTGCTGTGATGTTTCATTATCAAGGGAAGAGGTACTGCAAGTCCTGACAGCGTCTTATCAGAGTCTGAAGGACAAAGCTGAGTCTCCGAGGCAACCCCTTCTAGTCATATTAATTCATCGTCAGAGCCCTTTTCCTTCCCCTCCAGGACCCACTCAAGCGCCCAACCCTCAGACTCACCGAGGCTTCACCCTCCATCCCCAACCACCCCACTTTCAACTGCCAGAGAACTTTTCTGAGATGAAGCAGAGGCCAAGAACCTGGGCCCCCCTGGACGGGAGTCATCTCAGGTGCTGACACACGCAAGTGCTAATCTTGGAAAGTACCGCTGATGAATCAAAAAGCCACTTCCCAGAGATGGCAGAAGAGCTCAAGGCTTGGTTCCTGGAACACCACTGATTTGGTCCAGAACCTTGAAGCCTTCTATGCCTCAGTTCCCCAGCATGTAGGAAGGGTAATGACAACAAAGGAAAATTGCTACCTACTGCTCAACCTGTCATCACTATAAGTTGGAATGACTTGACCAACTTCAGAATGCTGTGAAAATTAATTAGTATTTATGGTGTATTCTGAGATGAAAGGTGCCAAAATTAGACAGAGCTGAGGCAAGGGGCAGGGTGTTAGCTGAGGTGTGATGAAGATTCAACAGGATGTTCCTTTAGCCTGTAAATTAAACTTTAATTTTTATCAAGGTAGAAAATTTCAGAAAACAATTATTTTACTTTTTCCTTCATAAAATACTTTCACCTCTTTCCTTCCATGTCTGGGGCACAACCAGTTGTGTTGGAATACAAAACCCACTCCTCCCAGTTGAATTGCTGAGGACTGCAATTAAAAAAAATAGTTAACACCTTTTAGATTCTTCTTCATACCAGGCCACCTAAAGGGATAATATCTGGCTTTTTTTTTTTCCTTTCCTTCTCTTTTTAACAAAACAAGTAAAATTTGTAGAACCGAGATGCTATGAGATCCTGTTCAGCTTTTGCGCTGAAACGTTGTCTTTGCCTCCAGCCACATTTTCAGACAACCTTCATTTCAGACTCATCTTGGAAATGAAGGCGTTTGTTTGCTACTGGGCCACTTATTCTTTGCCTCTCTGCTCAAACTTCAAGAGCACAAAAGGAAAAGAGTGCAACCATCGTTTGCAATCTGCCATCCCAAACCTCTGATGTAAGAGATGCAAAGCAGGCTAGAGTGGGCCTTGGCTTCTCTGATGAGAAAAGCAGCGTAAAGAGGAGGAAGTGGGAAGAGGCCCTGCGGCTGCGGTGGAGCCTCTATCAGCAAAGTCAGCACCTACAGACTGACGAGGGCAGCAAATGAGCTACCGCCTCGTGCTCCACAGTGACACTGCCATATCAGTCAGCATCAGGGGCTGGCGGGCCAAGTGTCTGCACATTGTCTGTGCTCCTAAACACTGTCAGTGACAAAGGCATCCTTTGAAGTCGGGTGACTGGGGACTATAGCCTCTGCCTCATTCCCATCTCCTCAATGTCCAGACCCTCACCACCACACTTTGATCCAAATTCTCCTTGGGGGGCCCTGTGACATGCTGATTCTACTTGAAATCAATTCCCAGTGGCCAGGATGTCCACAGTTTAGCTTATACTGAAAAAAAAAAAGTGAAAAAAAATCATCATCAAATAATTAAAAATGAGTCCCACTCCCGACATAATTTTGCTTTTTTGGTTTGTTTACAACGTTGTAGTTTCTACCTACTTCCCATCTTGCATCGTCCTTGCCTTCTTTGGTACTCCTTTCTTTCTTCCTCTCTTTGGGCCAACCTATTGACAACCATCTCACAAAATGGCTGGACGGTGGATTCCCCGGCTTATACATTCATCCTCAAAACAATTGTTTGGTTAAAACAGTCTTGGGTCCTCTATCAAAAGTGATCAGCAATGTGATTTGAAGCATCCAGGCCTGTTGCCTCTCTGAACATACCTAGGACCATGTTTATCTCAATGTCTGTGACTTATCAACCTCTCTTTCTCTCTGGTTTCCATACTGATTGCTTTGTGGTTAGTTGGGGGATGAAGACCTACTGCCAGAAGTTCAAGTCAACAGTGATAATTCTCCATTGAACCTCAGACGGAAGACTGACATGGTTGCTTACATGCCAGGAATCAGCAATCATAGGACTGAAGTGATTTCCAAGATTCAGGATTTTCTGAGTCCTAATAGCTAACAGCCAACAGAGAAAGGGGACACCCCAAACCAGCCTATCCTGTGAGAGGTAATGGGCACAGTGGTCCACCAAGGATGGTGATTTGCACATTTTTGTGGTTCGCCATCATTCTGGCAGGATAAAAATCCCCAAGGGCCAATTTACCCCACTGATCGCCACTTACCAACGCGAGAACAAACAAACTTACATTTGTTTATCGAGAAGAAAATCAAAGCTTTGGCAGAGAACCGGGACAATGTATTTGGATCCCCAGGGCCTAATGGTCTCCAAAAATATTTACTGAAGTCATTTGATTCCTGTGAAGGTTAATCCTACATAGTTTTCTAATCATTTGGGTCTTGGAACTGTCCTTGGAGGGTAAATCTCTGTCTGAGGGTCCAACCAGGTCATGGATCGTGGGCAGACTAAATTCTTGATTTTTATAAAATGTGCTGGGGAGGAGAGGAGCAGTGGGGACCCTGATCTTCCCAAATGCTTAGAATTAATGGATTAAACCATTGATGATTTGTTAAAGATGTTTCTTTCTAAAAATTGATGGAGGAAAATGGAGGGTCCAAGGTGGTCACCAAGATGGCCAGCAATCCAGATGCTGTTACGGGTAAACTCTTGGCATAAGAGAAAAGAAAACTGAGCAATAGGATTGGCCTGTGCGCTTCTGAGGTCATGTCATCAGTCTCCTGGGCCACAGCTCTCGCTTACTCAGAATGTGATTTGTTCAGGCAGCGCAGCTGGGGGCAGCAGGGCTCCGGCTACAAAAGCGTTGGCTGGTGAGAGAAAATCAAAATAATCCCCATTAAGTTCCCATTATCTTAAAAATTGGAAACCCTAATGAGAGGCTTCCAGAGCGAGCTGAGCAGCAGGAGGGCACCTCTGATGGACGCTGTCCTCTGTGAGGATGTCACTGTCACCATGGGCAAGCTGAGTGCCCTAGAGCCTCAGAGCAGTTTCCCTGGAAGCAGCCAAGATTGATTGGGCACCCCAGGACTCGGAGCCAGGATGAAGAGATGAGAAGCAGGCAGTCCAGGAGCAAGGCTGGCACCCTGAAGGAGACCCTTGGCCTGAGGGGTGATTGTGTTTAACCCTGCATTTTGTTAATTGCGCCTCAGAAACTCTGAACAGATTTAACTTTGATGGTCTCAGATTCTATTAAGTATGGTGCTGCCTAAAGGCAGGTAAAATGCCCTGTAAAGGACCCCCTCACTTCCATGGTTCTCAAACTGTGTTCTCATCATATTTCAGGTGGAGGAAGCTCTTCAAAGAAGAAAGGAGTTGGGAATCCTTATTCCCCCAGCAATGAGCAACTGTAGAAACACTCCTCTCACAGACCTGGCAAATGGCTTCTAGTGTTTTTGGTCCAAACACTACATCTCCCCAGCTCTGTGTCACATCTTGGCGCTGCATAGCCCAGTAGTACCACATCATCTCGTGGCACTGAGCCAAGAGCGTGCCCGGCGGCGCTTAGCACCATACAGGAAGTCTGTGGGGCCCTGCAAGCTCCCTCTACCACACTCCTACTGGAGCAGAGGAGGAGATTATCAGGCGGCAAAGTCATGGTGTTGCTATGATTACTCTGATGTGTAATAAATCTGTGTGGTGTGATAAATTAAGGCAAGGCTCTGTTCTCACTTTACACGCTGCCAATAGTTTTATTGTAACAGCTCGAAGTCGCGAGTTTTCCTTTTTAGGCAGAACAGAGGAAGCTGTGAAATTTGAAGAGAGAACAAAAGGATACTTGAATGTAGTTTGCAAGACAGGTATCTTACATGAGCGGGCTCATCAGGTCATCCAACACGGAACATTTCTGTGCTTAATGGCGTTGGGAAACTTGGAGGCCTTACAATGCCCACAAGAATTCATTTGAATTCATTTTCATATCAATGTGTGTGCATTCTGCAGAGCTGACCTCTCTAACGAGACTTCCAGTGCTTTCTTTCAGTGATAAACCTGAGCTGATGGTATGATCACAAATTGGTTCTGAAACTCATTAAAGTCAGCAAATGAGCATTAGTGAGATAGTTGCATAGGCTGAAATTGTGATAATCTGTTCATTTTGGCAATTGCAGCTCAGGCGGTGAAGAGAGGGCTGGTGAGAAACCCTACAACTCCCAGCAGGAAGACTATGCTCCGTTTCAGAGGCCTGTCCAGAGGTGCACGTGCCCTGGCTTTTCTTCCTGTACACCATGCACCTTGCTTCTGCAGGAGGCAAGGGAGCGCTTGAGAAATGCTCCTCCTCTAACCTTTGCCAAGTTCAAAGCCCAAGGGAGGCCTTCAATCACATCCCCAGTATACCTGACATTTAATGAATTTTTTTGTCAGGAGTCCTCCTCTTTGGTGGCAAATTCTATTTCTATCCTCTGTTTTAGAATTCAGCTCTTACTTTTTTTACTCAAATGTTAGTCAATCAAGATTTATTAACCCTCTGGTTCTAGAGAAGTCCTTTTATCTTCTTTTGTCTCACCTAGGCTTTTAGTTTACTTTCCCCCAAACTAGACACGCTGAGTGCTGATGCTCTGTTTTATGCGTCAGTGTATCACTGAACGCTTATGAAGCTGTTGATACTCAGTATATAAATGTTGACTCACTGCCTCATTCTACAACCACCAGCTCTACCATTCTAGTTTACCATCTCCCTCTATTGCCCTACAAAGGTACGCACTCCTTATGACCTTCCAGCCCAAAACAACTGACTCCCTTGGTAATCTCCTTGGTGAAACCCTAATCCTCACCCCTTCACTCCTCCTTAGAAACTACTGCACCCCTTCACTTGAGTCTCATTTATTAGCGGCAAACGTTGGGACAGGAAATTTCATCTTCTGAGTTTGAGCAGTCTCATCAATTCTATTTTTCTCTCCTATGTTTTTTCCCTAATACATTCTACCTCTGGTTAATTTGTAACAAGCCTAATCAGTACAAACTCTGGAAAAGCTGAAGTCATAATTTCTGAATCTGGTTTGAATTTGGGATTTTCTCCCTTAACTCAAAATTAATTTTGTAAATTTACTGGAAGCGTATTTTCCCCTTGCTGGCCTCAAACTAATATTTTTTTACACACAAAGTTTGGTATCTGGCTCAACTAGTTATTAAAATGACAAGGAAATTTCCAACTCCTTTTTTGGCCTTTCCCCTATCTCACCACCGCCTGCTCCCCCAACACACATACAAACGCGTGCACACACACACATGCACACACGCACATCACTGGAGTTGAGAAAGATGGAGTCCTTGCTTGAATTCCCCTTAGGTTGTATCATTGTTTGGAAGTTACTGGTTCTCATCCAGGAGCAGACGTGGACAGAGTGAGGAGTTGCTGTTTTAGCTCAGCCGTATAAAGTAGCACGGACCCCAGGCTTCCCTCTTTCTGTGCAGCTACTCCACTGTACGGTCGTCCTTCTAGTGAATAAACAGATTCCTATTAACAAATACTTATCGAGTGCTTATTTCGTTCCCAGTGCTGTATTGTCCATTATATTATCTCATTTAACTTAATTCTTGCCCTTTTAGGGAGTACTGATGTTTTCGTTTCATAAACCAGGAAGCAAACGTTCAAAAGGATTAGGCGAATTGTGCTGAGTGGTAGAACCAGATTTTTGGATTCCCGGTCTACTGTTCTCTACATTTCACCATGTTTTCTCTCGTCTGATTTTTAACTTTGTGCTAATAGAATCCTATATGCAAGAATTGCTACTCTTTGCACAAATTGTTTGCTCTTAAGTAACCTAGAGAGCACAGAAATCCCATTACATACTGACAAAAACCCCATTCTGGAGCTGACGTTGGCTCCTGAGTCTCATCTAGTAAACACTCAAGTCATACTTTATGAAAGTTTACCAAAATTTCTCAGTGGAAATTTGGAACGTAGGACATCTTCAAGATTGGGTTCAAGTGTTAGGCATCAAGGGAAGAAATAGGAAGTCTGATGATACTGGAAGATGCTGGTTATGTGTTCATCGATGCCATAGATAGCAGGTCTAAAAGTTGTATTAATTTAATTTGTTGTAAACAAAATGAAAGAACCATGGAAAAAAAGATCTTCACCTAGATTTTCTTTTTAAAAGGCATTTGGAATCATAAAGTCAATTTTTAAAAAAAAATTTTGGTTAGGAAATACCCATTTGTCTCTTTCCTATAAAAATAGCTAGTATTTTTTCCACATTTGCTATGTATCAGTTACCATTATGCATTTTTATGTATCATTTAATCCTCACAACTCTATGAGGTAAATGCTATTCTCATTTTACACATAGAGAAACTGAAGCTCAGAGAGGTTAAGTAATTTGTCAAAGTCACACAGCTGGTAAGTGGCAGGGTTAGAATTTGAATTCACACAGTGTGACTGCAGAACTTACATGTTTAACCACACTTAGAGTTGACAGATAAAATACAAATAAAATTCCAGATAAACAAATCTCAAATATTGCATGGAACATATTTATACTAAAAACATTATTTGTTGTTTATCTGAAATTCAAACTTAACTGTATATCTTGTGTTTTTATTTGCTAAATCCAGCAACCCTAACCACACTTTTCTGCCTTCTTTAAATTCATATATCTATATATATTCAGGTTGCTTAATTTGTGGTTTCCACGTGCTTGAGTTTTGTTACAGAATAAATGATGTTAACTCACATCCACAAAGCTAGAGCAAACCCTCCTGGATTCCTCTTCCCTCCATTTATTGAAGGCAGGGCTGGTCTGGGACGGTCGTCCCCCTGATCAGGCAGTAAGTGCAAGCTTTCCTCTTCCGATAAGAAAAGACTTCGCTTACTGTCGGCACATGCTGGCCTCCTGCCTACATCGGGCTTTCTCTTCAGTGGCCAGCTGGGTCCTGCCTGGTGCTCATCCCTATCCAATTTCCTTGCTGCAAAAATCCTCAATTCTTTCTAGGAGTTGCTGAGTTGCATGGCTGAGTAGCTGCTTCCTTCCAGAGGACAGTGTTCACAGAAGGAAATGAAAAAGAATGAGCTGGCTACAACTTAGCAAACAGACCCTACACAGAAAGTCTGTTGTATAAAACATATAAATAGGCGATATGTACACCACCCAACAAACAACTCTGGATCATCTATGCGTGCGCTCTCCACTCTAATGCACAGTTCACCACCCAGATAACCTGAGCTGAAAAACGCGAAATTGCTTTTAACGGCATTTGTCTTTTAGAAGACAAATGTATTGTCCCCAAGATCACAGAATGTGTTTAAAAACAAAGATAAAAGACTTTGGAATTAGCTGATCTTTATTTTATTTTAATAATGTAGATAATTGAAAGGCGACCATCTATTTACAAGCCTGGATAGTTATAGAATTACTTCTGTAGTCAAGATTTTTTAACTCTTTTGAATAGCATGAAGTTTTATGAACCAAGGATGAAATAATAATAATAGATAATATTTATTACAACATTAAAAAAACATTTGTCACTATGTGCCAAGCTGTATGAAGAGCACGTCACATGCCTGACTGCTTAGTTTTTACCAATACCCTGTGAAATCTTGTGATTTTATTAGTACCATATCACAGATAGGAACACTGAAGCTGGAAACTATTTGCTCAAGGTCACAGTTGGTAAGCGACAGAACCTGCATTTAGCCCCATGTAGTCTCACTCCAGAGACCATATGCTAAGTTACTGAGCAATGATGGCTTCACAGCATAAGGTGGAAAAGATGTAGCTTCTGTGGTGAAAAAGTAGCTTTTTTAAAAAAAATTTAAATCTCTTGCTGACTCTTTCACTCGAAAGGCATGACGTGTTCTCTTTGTGAAAAAGCAAAGACTATCCAGGAGGAGAAGATGGGTGGCAAATGGCCAAAATGGTTAGGATTAAATTGAATGCTGTATGACTGGTACCCACAGCTCACACCACATGTGACTCAACACGCGAGTTGGCCAGCACCTGAACTGGTCTATGCCCTGCTCAACTAGATAAGTCTACCAATCCTTTGCTTATATATCACAGCAATGTCAAGTTGCCACAAAGTGTCTCAATGCTTACTCTCATTTTCTGTACTTATCTTAAAGTCAACTAGTGCTATGGTCTGAATATTTGTTTCCCCCCCAAATTCATATGTTGAAATCATGACCCCCAAATATGATGGTATCAGAAGGTGGGGACTTGAGGGTTATGAGGGTGGAGTTATGACGTTGGAGCCCTCATGAATGGGATTGGTGCCCTTATAAAAGAGGCTCCAGAGGGATCTCTAGTTCCTTCCACCAGGTGAGGACACAGTGGGAAGGTGCCATCTGTGAACCAGAAAGAGGGCCCGAACCAGAACATGACAATGCGAGTAACTTGATCTCAGATTTCCAGCCTCTAAACTGTGAGAAATAAATTTCTATTGTTTATAAGCCACCCAATCTGTGCTATTGAGATGCAGTAGCCTGAATGCACAGACAACTGGTAATTAACAGTTTCATGGACCAGCACACGTCTGTGGACCACACTTCGAGTAGCACTAATATAGAAAAGATCAGCTTAGCACATCATTAATTAAAATATACAAATATGCTAATTAGATTGCTGGCTTATAGTCTCTCTCTCTCTATACACACACACACACACACACACACACACACAACCCTGAAATATTTATTGAGAACCTACTATATGCC